AGGATGGGGGGGGGGGTCTGGTCTTCCCCACTGTCCTGCCCTCTTTCTCCTAAAATGACTGGGCTCCCAGACCCTGTTCACCCCCTGGCTCCACCCCCCTGGTCAAACCATAGCAGGAAGCCCCTGGCATCAGAGCCTGGGTCCCTGAGATCCTCTTTGAGATCATCAGTCCCCAGGTTAGGAAAGCAAGGGCGTTGCAGTCCCAAGGCCACAGGCCTGATGCTTCAACCTCTCCCCCACCTTCTCCACCAAGGGCTCCTTGGCTCTGACTTCTTCTACTAAAGAGGGGGGTGTAGTTGGGGGGACCTGGGGGGCTTCTTCCACTATTTCAATTCACAGTGACTCTGCCTCAGGATTGACCTGCAGCAGGTCATTGATAAAAACCCGAAAAGCAGAGCTGGTACCAGAGACGATGGGACCAAAACAGTGAGAAATCACAGGCTTTAACACTGGGTCTAGGGTACACAGTAGGTGCTTAATAAGAGCTGTACTTTATTAGCTGTCAGGGTCATAGTCACCAGCCATCTGAATAGCCCCTCATCTCCCAGCCCCCACCCCTATGCCCAGCCACAGTGACACCAAGCCCTGGCAAAATCTACACCTGCCTTACTTTCTGGGTGGCTCTGTCCTAAGGAGACACAAGAGCACCAAGCCGGCCCCTCACTTCCCTCTCTGCCTGCTGCCGCCCCCAAGGTGATGCCTCTGGCAGAGCCCAGGGTCCCCCCAGGAGCTGGGGGCCGGGGCCTCGCACTCACCACCATGCTGTATTCCACCTCCGCCTGCCACGGTTGCACCGTCTCTCCCTGAGCGGGCCACGTCTGCAGCTCCAGGTTGGCATAGCAGGGCTCACTCTGCTGGGTGGCCCGGGGTGGGCAGGAGGAGTGGGGCTTGGTGACTGTCCACAGAGCCCCTCCATGGCCCACCCCAGAGAGGCCTCTGTCCCTGCCTCTCTGCAGACATCGCCCCTCCCCTCTATACTCCGGGCGCCCCAGCCTTCCTGCCCTGCCTCCCACCCCCACTCTACTCCTCTCTGAGCAATGTCCGAATGCTCCCCAGGTCCGCACCAGGCTGGAAGAACCCCCCTCATTCCACTTTCCCTGGGAGGGGAGGAGAGGGGACAGACTGGAGAGCTCAAGACAAGACCCAGAGGCCTGATCTCCCAGGCACGGTTCTTCCTGCTCTGGGCAAGCGCCCCACTCCTACCCTCACTGATCCAGCCAATGGGACAGTCCAGCTGCCAACCCCCTGAGCCCCCCAGCCACCTGACACTCCTCCTGGGAGCCTTTCTTACCTCGCTGGGGTTCTGGGGTGGCTCCGAATACCCACCAGCTAAAGAGACAAGGGGACAGGGAGGTCTGTGCCAGAACAGGCCAGGGTGTGTAACCCACCCACACGCCCGGGAACTCTGCCGTCAGGGACTTTTAGAACATTAATAGCAGGGAAAATAATATAATGTGTTAAATGCAAAAAAACAAAAACAAAACAGGTTTAAAAGAGAAAAAATGGTATTTCAAGAAATATGTGCATAAATAGGCTTGGAAAAAAGACTGGACGGCCATCCCACGAACGAACGTAGCTGGTTTGCTCTGGGGGTGGGCGTTTTCCTCCTTACTTATTATGGGAACCACATTTCCTCCTGTGTGCTTTCACTCACTTTTGAATTTTCTACAATCATGTACCCCTTTTTTAAAAGGGGAACTTTTCTAGGTGAAAGGGCACTGCTGGGGATCGCTGAGACCCACAGATCTGAGACACTCCAGGCTGGGAAAACCCCCTGTAGGTAGGCAGAGCCCACGTGGGAGCTGGAGCTTAAGGAGGTGTGGGGAAGCCATGTGGGAACAGAGGGTGGGGAAGAGGCAGTGGCTGGGGCCCCCTGGGCTCCTAAAGGCCCGAGCCTGCTGCCCCAGAGGCTGGGCCCCAGGAGGGCGGCTGTGGTCCTCCCAACAGGGCCTCAGCAGGCACCAGCTCCCGTGGAATTGCACCCTCCCCGCTCACCCCACGCTCACTGCAGCCTCACAAGGCTGGACAAAGATCCTGGAGAGCCCTCTGCTCCTGAAACCAAGAGCCCTTTGCACAGCGGGGAGAAGGCTCACACTTTATCTCAGGCAGAAGCCTGCACCCTGCAGGTGACTGTGGCCGCCAGGCAGCAACGAGGCCACATCATCTGTTCTTATTTAATTCACTCGCCACCCACTTACTGAGCCCCAGACTGGGTACTGAGTGCGCCACGTTCTCTCTTTTTCTGTTGTTGTTAATCCTCGCTGGAGGATATTTTTTCCATTGATTTTTTTTTTTTTTTTTTAGAAAGAGTGGAAGGGAGGAAAGGGGGTGGGATAGAGAGAGAGAAACATCGATTGATTGCCTCCGTCAGGTGCCCCAACCTGGGCTAGGAACTGAGCCCGCAACCCAGGTTTGTGTCCTTGACCGGGCATCAAACCTTCGACCCTTTGGTGCGTGGGCCGGCGCTCTAACCACTGAGCACATCGGCCAGGGCCATGTTCTCTCTTTTAATCTGAGCTCAGAGGAGAGCAACCGGACCACAGGATGCCTGGAGCTTCCTGGGCACTCATCGCGGCCACAGATATTGAATAATTAATGCATTAATTCAGCGAACACTGTCTGTGTGCCTTCTCCAGTCATGGGCCCTGATCTTAGGGGGTTGCACCGGCCGGGCGGAGGCGGGCGAGGAAGCAGGTGGTGACGATTCGGTGCATAAACGGCTCTGATGGGGGAGGTGCAGAGGTATAGCCAGGAGGCCTCCCCGGGCTGCGGGACAGAGGGCAGGTGCCCAGAGCGAGCACAGCAGGCGAGACTGGTCATGGCCTTGCAGCTGGCAAGAAGTTCGGCGCGGCTGCCTTTCAGGGTGCAAGGACGGGTG